AAAAAAAAAAAAAGAAAAACATAGGATATACAGGGTTCAGCACCATTTGCATTTTCAGGCATCCACTAAGGGTCTTGGAACCTGTCCTCCTTGCCACGGTATTCTGATGACTGACAGCTCAAACTCAACCGTAAACCTCTGGACTAGGGAGACCGTGGCTCTGGGATGGAGACCGGCAAAACTGCAGAGGCAGAATTGTTTTCAGCATCTTCCACCTCCTCTACATCCATGCCTGATCCCATCCCAGGTCTTCCCACGTGAAGCCATCTTCCAGCGATGGCGCAGGGACCGCCATGCGGGTGTGACTTCTCGCCCCACGGCCCCCAGCTCCCTCTCCCCTGCCCATCACCACTTTCTCTCGTGCCTTTATCATGGAAATAGCCTGAAGTGCCCACAGGCTCGGACACTGATAATGGGCTGGCTGTCCTTCCCAGGGACGCCTGCATGTTTTTAGAGCAACACCCATAACCTTTGGACTTTGAATGAAATCAGACAGATTGAGATTGAATTCCCAGCAGAGCCACTTACTAGCTAAGTGACCCACACCCAGTTAATCAGTCTCTGGGCCTCAGTCTCTCCATCTGTTATGTGAGAAAAATAATCCCCACTTCCCATAGCTGTTGTGATAGCCAAGGTCAAGTGAATAGGACAAGGTTCCAAGCACAGTGCCCAGTTCAGGGTGGCAGCCAAATGTAAATCTCAGTTCCCTCTCACCTCCCCTTCCTCAGCCTGAAGGAATTGCTTCCTAATGACAACGTTTTGGAATCATCTGAACCAGCCCTTCTCTGGGGACCTCGGGAAGGAGGCAGCAGATATGCTCACAGCTCAGCTGAAGATACTTACAACTTCCTCACCAACAGCACAGCCTTGGTGGTCGGGGATGGGGTGCTCCGAGGACCCCACTCACAAATAACATTGCTGAGGGGGCTCTTCCGGAAGCAGGAGAGCTGGGGCTCCTCGGGAGGAACTGAAAGGAGAGCATCACAGACGTGAGCAGGTGGTTGGGGATCCTGGGGCACACCTGGCCTCGCAGGCGGGGCAGCCTCCCTTGGGAGGGGAGCACATGGCTCAGTCTCTCAGCCCCAGCCCCAGGAGACAGTCAGGACCAGACACCACGGCCACATTCAGCCACAGGCAAATGGAATCACCACTGGGAAATTAAAGGACACCCAAGTCCTTGTGTCAGGCTGGGACACGAATCCAGGACAGGGGAAGGGAAGCACCCCAGGGCCAATTTGTCTAAAGAGGAGAGAGGATGATCAAAAAAAAGGGGCTTTGGAGTCACGCAGACCTGGCTGTGCGGCCTCGGGCAAGTCCTAGCCACTCCTGAGTTTCCTCCAGTATAAAATAAACTGATGACAATGAAATGATGACAGCAATGATGATAAGCCTGCTTTCCCCGGCAGGGCTGCTGAGGGCGTACAAGAGATACGGAAGAAAGTGCCTTGGCATAGGGCTTGGCACACAGGACACAGGTTCTAGGAAGTCTGTGTAGGTGTGAGGGAGCTAAGAACTTGCTAATTCAAAAAAAATAAGAATAGCTAATTTGAGAGCTTAGGGTGTGTTATGCAGACTTTTTAGCACCACATATGTGTGATACACACACACACACACACACATATGCAAATTCACATATGATTCCTTTGCAACAACTCTAAGGTAAGGTAATAAAATTAACCATATAGGATCAGGCGCAGTGGCTCACACCTGTAATCCCAGCACTTTGGGAGGCTGAAGCAAGTGGATCACAAGGTCAGGAGTTCAAAACCAGCCTGGCCAAGATAGTGAAACCCCATGTCTACTAAAAATACAAAAATTAGCCGGGCATGGTGGCAGGCGCTTGTAATCCCAGCTACACAGGAGGCTGAGGTGGAGAATTGCTTGAACCCAGGAGACGGAGGTTGCAGTGAGCCAAGTTTGCGCCACTGCACTCCAGCCTGGGCAATAGAGTGAGACTCTGTCTCAAAAAAAAAAAAAAAACAAAACCTTATTTTGCAAAGATGAAACTGAGGGGTGGAGAGGTAAAGCTGTGTGTGAAGGGGCAGGATTCAAACCCAGGCTCCTTGGCTCCGGGCCCCAGGCTATTGAGTTCACCAGAAGTCCTAACTCCCAAAGCCAACGTTCCCCACCAGTTAGACACCCCACCCAGCCGCAGTCTTGGCCAGCATCTAGCTGGCAGACATTGGTGGGCCTTCCCCAAAATTCTTGCGCCAAGGAAATGACAGGAGTTTGAAGATTCAGACAGGGACTGTCTCTGGAACGCACAGGGACTCACTTCTTACGGGAACTGTCTCCGGGAGCTCTGAGGCGCAACTTACCATCCACCAGCAAGTGCACGGTCCCAGCTGGGCGGCCGGCCCGGTAGCAGGAATAGTTCCCAGAGTCGTGGAGCTGCACCGACCTCAGCAGCAGCCGCCTTCCCACGCCAGCCCATCTGCCGGGGTGGCCGCCTGCAGCCGGCTTCCCGAGCACCCAGTCAACAGTGGCATTGTCTTCCAGCTCTCCCCCGGGGCAGGTCAGGGTCACGCTGTTGCCGGGCAGGCTGGTCAGCACGCCTCTCGCCACCTCTGGGGAGGGAGGAGACACTCGGTAAGCCCACAGCCACTGAAGAAGCGGCTTCGTTCTGATCTGAGGAAGCCACGCGAGGCCTCAGTGCTAATCATGAAGGGGTCCAGGCCGCCTTCACCTCTGCCTGGATTGGGGCAGCAGTCTCCTGGTGGCACCCCCACCTGGTCCCCACCATTCAGCTGCCTGGGAGAGCATTCTGAAGCAACGATCCAGCCACCCCACTCCCTGGATTAGAAAACCGCTCAAGGGGCCGGGCGCAGTGGCTCAAGCCTGTAATCCCAGCACTTTGGGAGGCTGGGGGGGGGGATCACGAGGTCAAGAGATCGAGACCATCCTGGTCAACACGGTGAAACCCCATCTCTACTAAAAATACAAAAAAATTAGTTGGGCATGGTGGCATGTGCCTGTAGTCCCAGCTACTCAGGAGGCTGAGGCAGGAGAATTGCCTGAACCCGGGAGGCGGAGGTTGCGGTGAGCCGAGATCGGGCCATTGCACTCCAGCCTGGGTAACAAGAGCGAAACTCCGTCTCAAAAAAAAAAAGAAAGGAAAAGAAAACCCCTCAAGGGCCTACCACTGCCCACAGGATGAAGTCCACGCTCCTCAGTGTGGCCTGCACAGCCCTGCTGTCCTTGGAGGCCTCATCTCTCGTCACTCCTTAGAAGGTGTGGAGCCTTCCCCTCAGCTCCCCACACTCTCCTCCTCACACTCGTTCTTCCCACATCATCCCCACGACCCCCTCCTATTCCAGGTCTTGGCCTAAACATCGCTTCCGCTCCCCCGGCTGCACGAGGTCCTCACTCAGCACTACGTCACCCACACGCTGCCATGTAATTACCAACCCCGTGTCTCTCGTCCCCTCAAGATACCAAGCACCACAGAAGTAGGCACCCTGCTTTGTTCTCCATGATATTCCAGTGCCCAGGACATTGCCTGGCCCGTGGCAGGGACCTGCTGAGCACCTGATGAATGTGTGAATGAATGCACGCCTGTAGGGATGAATGCCAGGCACCCAAGTGCACAAGTACACAGGAGGTCTCCGAAAGCAGGGTCTTCATGGCAGAATGCTCGTTGTACAGGTGGTAACGGAGGCCCAGAAGAATCAGGAGGCTGGCCCAGATGCACAGCTGGGGTGGGAACCAGGGCTTCTGATTCCCTGTTCCATGCTCCCTCCAGTAACCTGCATTACCGACTAAACCACCTAGAGCAATGTTGTGTTTACTCCAGGGACCAAACCGGAAGGTTAAAAAAAATGCATTCTCTAAAAGAAACAAACCAAAACCAAAAAAATGCATTCTCTACGCCTTGAAAAAAAATTGGGTGTATTCTACTACTCAAGAAAAAGGAGATTAAAGATTAAAGGAACAAGTAAACTATTTTTGGTAGAAGTTATAGATTCACAGAATCTAAGATAAAAATTAGCCCAACCACCATGGACTCATTTATTAACCAATCAATCAAATTAGTCCAATCAGCTAAGGAAACAGAGGCCAGGGAACACAGCCAGTTTTCATGTAAGCACACTTGGTCCTTCAAACCAAATGCATAATCATTCATCAGCAAGCAGTAGCAATAAATCTGGCCAAAGATCTCAGAGAGGACCCACAGTCACTGAGTGCCTGACCTCACCTCCTCGCCCACGCCCCTGGGACTCAGAAGCAGCGCAGGGCTCTCTGCCTGGCCTGCAAAGCCCTTCTTGCTTATGAGGCATTTTTTTTGTTTTGTTTTTTGGTTTTCTGTTTTGTTTTGTTTTGAGACAGTCTTACTTTGTCACCCAAGCTGGAGTGCAATGGCACAGTCTTGACTCACTGCAACCTCTGCTTCCCAGGTTCAAGCGATTCTCCTGCCTCAGCCTCCCAAGTAGCTGGGATTACAGACGTGTGCCACCACACCTGGCTAATTTTTGTATTTTTAGTAGAGACAGGGTTTCACCATGTTGGCCAGGCTGGTCTTGAACTCCTGACCTCGTGATCTGCCCACCTCAGCTTTCCAAACTGCTGGGATTACAGTCATGAGCCACTTTTTTTTTTTTTTTTTTTTTTGATACGAAGGCTCGCTTTGTCACCCAGGCTAGAGGGCAATGGTGCAATCTCGGCTCCCTACAACCTCTGCCTCCCGGGTTCAAGCGATTCCCCTGCCTCAGCCTCCCGAATAGCTGAGACTACAAGCGTGCGTCACCATGCCTGGCTAATTTTTGTATTTTTAGTAGAGACAGGGTTTCATCATATTGGCCAGGCTGGTCTCAAACTCCTGACCTTGTGATCCACCTGCCTTGGCCTCCCAAAGTACGTGAGCCACCACGTCCAGCCACTTATGAGGCATTTTAATCTCATATTTGTCAAACTGTCCTTCCTTTCACCCCATCCAAGGTGGCTGTCAGAGGAGAGAGTAAGGATCAGTGACTCCCAGGCAGATAACACCCCCAAAGCCGGGGGAGGTTGGAGTCCACACTGGCTACTGGCAGTTCAGGGACAGGGACATAAGCATCAAAGGGGCAGAGACAGTCTCCCAAGACTTCGTATTGGGCCCTGCCTAGCTATACAGATGCCCTTCCCTCTCACTTTAACACCTGGAGCCAGAGTCCTCCTCCCTGGTACCCTCTGCCCCGAGGCTGGCAGAAAAGGGACAAACACAAGGTCAGCATGGCAGTCGGTCATCTAAGGTTTTCTCTCGTCACCACCAGAGCCCTGGGGCTCGGGTAAGAAAGCTGGCTGAATTGTCACCGTGCAGCCAGGCGAGTTTGGGTGGGTTCCTGAGACCCCTATGGACTTACTTTCCCCCACGGCGGGCAAGTCCTATGTTTGATAAGCATTCGAGGAGCCTGCAGCAGCCAGGCCCCAGCAAGGAATACACACACAATCAGGCATCCCAGAGACCCTGCCCTGAGAGATGGGAGACACATTTGCTGCTGCAGGACTGGGACGCGGCACACAGTACTCTTTTGGTCATCAGCAAAATCTGAGTCCCAGCTGGGCGCTGTGGCTCACACCTGTATTCCCAGCACTTTGGGAGCCCAAGGCAGGTGGTTCACCTGAGTTTGGGAGTTCGAGACCAGCCTGGCGAACATGGTGAAACCCCGTCTCTACTAAAAATACAAAAATTAGCCAGGCATGGTGGCACACGCCTGTAATTCCAGCTATTCAGGAGGCTGAGGCAGGAGAATCACTTGAACCCGGAAGGTGGAGCTTGCAG